ATAGATTTCCCCACCCTTACCTTACCTTCCTTTCAAACCAATGTTCTTGTGTGTTACATCTTTGTGAGGCTTCTTTTCAGTTGAACTTAGTATAAAGTGTTAGGTTTATGCGACATGATTAGGCTTTCATATTGATACTAGCTTTGCATTTTGAAGCTAGTTTTAGGCTTAGGATAGGGCTGGTGTTCTTGGAGATTGCTTTGTTTTGCTTCGGTTTAAAGAGTTTGATATTTGGAAGTTGAATAAAAGTGTTTTTAATGGTTTTAAGTGTAAGGCTTGTTATTTTTAAAATGAAAGCTCTAGATTATTTAAGAAGGTAGCTCTCAAAAAAAAAGAAAAAGAAAAGAAAAGAGCCAAAAGGCCAAGTGTTTAAAAAGAAAAAAAAAAGAAAAAAAATGAGTAGAGAGCTACCAAAGTAAAGAAAAGAGCTAATTGTGTTTTCAGCCTTATCACTAGCTAAAAGAGTTTTAAAATGATGCTTTTACTTGGGTTTTTGCTAGACGAATTTCCTTGATGATAAGGGTAGTCCTTAGGAGGGTGAGTGAGCTCAAAAGAAAAGAAAAATGAGAGAGGGATCTTTGTTAGTATGCATGGGTAGATGAAGGCTTAATCATGTATGCATCAATTGTCTTTACCTTTAGCATTATGTAAAAGTTCAACCATTCTTTGAGATAACCCCTTGTTTGAATCACCCTTGTAAGTGAGATCATTTTTATCTCGCAACCCTTGTCCCTTAGCCAAGTGTATCCGGTTTTAAAATGCATAAGTATGATTCACGGTTTTGATGCTTAATGAATGTTAAAGGGTAGGATTCTTGGATTGTTTGGGATATGAGAGTCATGATATGAAATTCATTATGTGATTAGTATGGCTAAGTTCTTTGGAGTATGAGTGTGTGCATTGCATTTTAGAATTAAGAACTAGGACCATTGAATTGATTCATTTGAAAAACACTTTTGCAAGAAGCTTAAACCCCCGTTTTAAAACCTCTCTTCCTTCTTGAATTTTGTTTGTTTGAAGGCAAGCAAAAGGCAAGTTTGGGGGAGTTGATATTTGTTCCATTTGTTGCATTTTAGGTCCTAGGTCTCTTTGCATTCGCATTTTGCATATTTGTTGCACTTTTGCATCATTATCAGGTTGTTTGGAGCACTATGGAGTTGTGGAGGCTATGTGGACGTGAGGAGGTTCAAAGTGGAGCTCGTGGACACTTGGAGAACTCAGCCGTGCATGCAAAGAACCCGCGATTGAGTAGCGGATCGAGCAAGGCAGGTCGATCTAGACGAGATCGACCAGAAGATCGAGTGACCCGAGTCGATGCAAGGGAAAGGATCGAGACCAAGATCGAGAGAGGTGATCGATCTGGAGTATGGACGTAAATGACGCCATGCAGAACGAAAGCCAGATCGAGACCAAGACTCGATCATCCCAAGATCAAGAAGAAGATCGAAGAAGGTACTCGATCCCTCCAACCAGATCGACTTGAAGATCGAGCAGAGCAAGGCGATTTCTGAAAGTGATCGAGCGCATTGATCGATCTCAAGGTTGATCTCTACGGCCTTAACCATTTTTGACAGCTAGTGAGGGGACCACCGAGAGCGGTTTAGCCATTTAGGGAAAGGAGGCGATCACTTTTCGAATATGCACACTTTGTCTTTTACTTTTCTCTCTACCTTAGGCAATTCGCCATTGTTGAGCATCTAAGCTTTTTTCAGTTTTTAAACTTTGAATCTTTTAATATTAAGCAAGTTTTTCTTTAATCGCTTGTTAATCATGTTTAGTTCATCCTTTACTGCTTTTCAATCGATCTTAATCATGTGTAGCGAGTAGTCTTTTTGGGTTTTTGGGGTTGAGGCGATTCAAAAGGGGTTAAGAGGTTTAAAGCTTTGTGTTTTCTTTGTTCTTCATACCTTCTCTTCTAGGATCTTGGGGTCTTAAGGCTTAGAGAGTCTTGGAAAAGATCTCTATGATTCCAAGGCTATCTTACCCTGACCGGATTCAGATGTCCTAGAAAACCAGATCCTAGAAACTAATCTTTCCTTTCCCAAACGCCATTGTTGTAAAGGGGATTAGTTAGGTCATTATTTGAAATCTGTTTTCCTTGCTCTTCGATCTCTTTTTCCACCAATTGCCATGGGTTTGGAGAATAGATTGAGGAAGTGAACCATACCACACGCCATGGATGGTTCTTGTTTTGTTTTCAAGGCTTAGAGAAACCTCACAAGTGAGTAGATCTAAATGTTTTCAAACCAAAGCTTAAACCTTTGAGACCTTTGAATATGACCCTCGACCCTAAACCCTCTTTTTAGCATATTAAACCCTATGTTAATCGTTTGCTCGTCATTTAGCTTGCATCTTGTTTATTAGAAGTCAATCGCTTTAAGTTGTTTGTTAGATCGGTCCATTCTGCTCGTTCCAGTGGTCGATTCACTGGTCGATTTTTAGTTCTTAGTAGCTTTGCATCTTTAATCTTCTGTTTTTTCCTAGTGGTAGTTAACCCTCTTCCAGGGATTTTAAAATTGTTTTGCATTCCATTAGATCGTTGCATTTAGTTTTGTTTGATTTTACTAATCATTTTCCCGATTTGCTTAGATTTGCTTCATCCTTGCATTCTTAGTGTTCTTCCTGCTTCCTAGGTTGGATTGATTCTCCTTACTATTGTACTACATCATAACATGTGGTTTGGGTTTTGATAACCTCCTTGCTTGCATAGAAAAAATCTTGTTATCAATAATATATGTCTAGTGTCTTATGTATTTTGTCACTTTCTGCTTTAATAATGTGTATCAAGTGTGTTTGTCTATATGTTGTCGGTTTCGACTTTTATTAAGAGAATCGAATGCTTATCTATTAATTTACTGCATTCTAAAATCTGTTTGGAGTCTGTTGATTTCAACCACTAAATTTCTTATAAATGGAGGCTACTTCTTGTATAGACATATCAGTATCAAAGATCTCATCTTTTACTAAAAAAATATCAATGGTTCATCAGAATTTCCTTTTGATATCGAAGATCACAAAAAATAGTCTGAAATTGAAAAGAGTTATATCGTCAACCTGTTTAAGGAGCGTCAAAACAAAATAGAACAAGATTGTGCCCCTCGTAGCTAGAGAAAATATTACAAGAGAGATCATGTAGCAGCAAACCAACGAATGATTGACGACTACTTTGCCGACTAACCTATATATGACGATGCAATGTTTCATCGGCGATTCCGGATGCAAAAACATGTTTTTCTTTGGATCATTCAGGACTTATCAAGAAGTGACAACTACTTCACCCAAAGAGTTGGCGCAGCTAATAAAGAAGGTATATCTCCATTAGCAAAATGTACGTCTGTCATGTGAATGTTAGCATATGGTATGGTGGCTGACGTGGTCGACGAATACATTAAAATAGGAAGTACTACAGCATTGGAGTGTTTGCGTAGACTATGTAGGGAATCATACAATTGTATGAGAAAGAGTATCTCAGAGCTCCAACTCAAGAAGATTTGCAAAGAATACTACATGTCAGTAAAAGGCGGCGGGAATTCCCGGGGATGATTGGGAGTATCGATTGCATGCACTGGGCGTGGAAAAATTATCCTACAGCGTGGGCATGTCAATTTACTCGAGGAGATAAGGGAACCACCGCTGTTATTCTTGAAGTTGTTGCATCTCATGATCTATGGATCTGACATGCATTTTTTGGATGTCCGGGAACATTAAACGATATAAATGTTCTAGACCGTTCTCCAGTGTTCGATGATGTGGAACAGAGAAATACTCTGAGAGTAAACATCTTTGTGAACCAACGTCAATATAACATGGCCTAGTATCTAGATGACGGTATTTACCCTTCTTATCCTACTTTCGTCAAATCAATTAGAATTCCTCAAAGTGAACCAGATAAGTAATTCGCACAACGTCAGGGGGGATGTCGGAAGGACATCGAACGTGCATTTGGGGTGTTGCAGGCTCGATTCAAAATCATTTGCGAACCAGCTCGCTTATGGGACATAACTGATTTGGCTGTCATTATGAGGTCATGTATCATCTTTTATAATATGATAGTTGAGAATGAACGAGATACATATGCTCAACATGCAACCGACTATGATCAATTTGAGGCAAGTGGATCTAGTACACCGCAACCATTCTTGACCGAGATGCTACTTATATTTGCAAATCATGTGCATGCTAGATCTGAGTTGCGTGATTCGAATATGCATAATGAATTACAAACAGATATAAACAAGCACATATGGGCAAAATTTGAAATGTTTCACAATTAAAAATTTTATGTGTGATTTAAGAGTTTTATTGTGTGTGAGTTGAATTTTTGTGTGTGAATTTTAATATTTTATATGTGGTTTAAGAACTTTATTAATTATGGTGTGTGTATTTTATTTTAAATTTTTGTAATTTTATTTTATTTTAATAATAGTTATTATTATTTCATGTTTTTATTATTTGAAAATTGTTTATAAAAATTATTTAATTTTTAATTATAACTGTAATCATTTTTTATTACTAATTAAGAAATAAGAATATGATATGAAATTATAGAGAAGGATGTTGAATTTTAATAAACAAATTATTGTAAAGTGTAAAAAATATAAAAATATTAAATAAATATATGAATGAGGAAGAAGATGATATAAAGTGTTAAAAAGTAAAAAATGGGTGTTGAATAAAAAAACGAATGTAAATAGTCTTATTTTTCTCAACTTTTCTATTGTTGTCTCTTTTCAATTGATATGTAGATCCAGCAATGTCAAATAACAATAACTTTTTCTTTTCTTTTTCGTTATGTCGGTTTTAATTTCTCTCCATACTTTTTAAGATTGATTTGAGTTTACTCATTTTTTTTTCTTTTTTTTTCTGTAGATTTAATTCTACTAAAGCCAAAAACTTAACAAAAAAAGTCGTTCCTACCATCTCTCTAAAAACGGGTTTAGTTTAGGCTAAAAAAAGTAGGTGGGAGGCAAAAGATCCAAATATAAAACCAATGGGCCTTTGTTTAATATGGACCAATCCAGATTATTAAAACCATTTTCCGCCCAGAAACATCGTGGCCATTGATTAAAAAGCCCAATAAGGAGTCTTCTTCTAGGGTTTTGCTATAAGTTCCCTCGCCGCTAGGTTATTTCGCCTCTTGTGTTCTCGTCACTCATCTCTCACACCGAAGCATCAGAATCAAACAATGGTATGCCCTAGCTTCTCTCTTTCCGTTCTTCGTTTTCCGCCGTAGTTTCTTCTTCATTTTCTCTCGTATCGCTCCTTAAAACATCGAATTTCTCCAGCGTTTCCTGAAATTTTCTTCATATTTTTTCTGAGCTATGGTATAGAGAATTCATGAGCTTCTGGTTTTATTCGTCATGGGTTTTAGAAATATTCCTTTTTCATTTCGGATTTGGTTTCGGCTTTGATACTTATCATTTTCATGCATATAGAGTCACTGATTCGTTTTGTTTGATATTTCAGCTAGATCTTTGTTACCTTAGCAAGAACAGTTATATATATCTCATTAGATCTTAGGAATTGATTAGGGTTTTTCGTGATAAGACTAATGAAAGAGGACGATTTCAATTGTTAGGTGTTTGTGAAGCCTTCCAAGTCGAATGCTTACTTCAAGAGGTACCAAGTCAAGTTCAGGAGAAGGAGAGGTATTGATTCATTCATTAGTCTCTCTTTGATATTGTCTCTGCTCACTTTGCATCAACTCGTTCTGAAAGTCACTTCCATTGTTCTGCAGATGGAAAGACTGATTACAGAGCCAGGATCCGTCTGATCAACCAAGACAAGAATAAGTACAATACCCCAAAGTACCGTTTCGTTGTCAGGTTCACCAACAAAGACATTGTCGCACAAATCGTGTCTGCAAGCATTGCCGGTGACATTGTCAAGGCTTCTGCTTATGCACATGAGCTTCCTCAGTACGGACTCAATGTCGGTCTTACAAACTATGCTGCAGGTAATGAATCAGTCATATGCTTTTCGTTTCTTGGATTTAGATAAGTTGATTCTGTGTTTATGGTTTTGCTAAAAACTGTTATGGTTTTTTTGTTAAATCAGCTTACTGTACCGGCCTGCTTTTGGCTCGCCGTGTTCTCAAGATGTTGGAAATGGATGCTGAGTACGAAGGAAACGTAGAGGTATGTTGTTGCCTTGTTGGCTTTGTTTCATGACTTTATGTTGTATCTCTGGTTATAATACAAATCTTAAATCTCATTATCAGGCCACTGGAGAGGACTTCTCTGTTGAACCAACTGAGTCAAGGAGGCCTTTCCGTGCTCTTCTTGATGTTGGACTTATCAGGACCACTACAGGAAACCGTGTTTTCGGTGCCCTCAAGGTATAAAACTCTTCTCTGTTCTAATGTCTTGGCATTGTTCTGCTATGTGTTTTCTTGGGAAAATGGTGTGTTTGCTGTGTTCTAATGATAATACTCTTGTGTGTGTTTCATAGGGAGCTTTGGACGGAGGACTTGATATCCCTCACAGTGACAAGAGATTCGCTGGATTTAACAAGGAGAACAAGCAACTCGATGCTGAGATCCATAGGAACTACATCTATGGAGGCCATGTGTCAAACTACATGAAGCTGTTGACAGAAGATGAGCCAGAGAAGTTTCAGACACACTTCAGCCAGTACGTAAAGAAAGGAGTTGATGCTGAGAACATCGAGGAGCTTTACAAGAAGGTTCACGCTGCCATTCGTGCAGACCCTAACCCTAAGAAGACCGTCAAAGCTGCTCCCAAGGAACACAAGAGGTATTTAACAATAAGCAATTTCATTCTTTCTGAATATAATTGGCTTTGATGTTTGCGTTGGTGTCTCATTATGTTTGTTTGATTGATGAATCAGGTACAACTTGAAGAAATTGACCTATGAGGAGAGGAAGAACAAGTTGATTGAGAGGGTCAAGGCATTGAACGGAGCAGCAGGTGGTGATGATGATGATGAGGACGACGAAGAGTAAATCACTGCAACGAGTGCCATTGTCTCCTGTCTCTTGTAGTTTTTTGAGCTTATTGCCTCAGTTTTTCTATTTTCAGACTAAAATACTCAGCTTTGTTCACACTTTGATTGCTGCATTTGAGGATCTTGATTTTGAGGATACTTTTTCTTTTAAGAATTTATCTATCTCTTATATTTGCCATCATCGTTTCTAAAAATTTACAATCTTAGCTGTGATATTCGTATCTTTAATTTTGTTAAATTACATTAGGTCAAAGTTCGGTTTTACGATAAACAATAAGTGAACTATAATTTTATTCAACCGGTCTGTTGTTCGGTTTAACTGGTTTTACGATGTTACTTCTTAGTTGAAAACAGAAAAACTCGACTTTGCAATCTGCTCTCATAGTAATTCGAGTATTCGACACACCAAAATGTAGTAATAAGCGAGAGTTTTAATATCTAAAGAACAAACCCATAAATAAAACCTAGACCTTGAAGCAAAGTCAGTCACTACTTCTTGCACAAGTCAAACTTCCAAGCAAGTTCTCTTCTAAAGCTCTAGTTGATCCATGCCTTCATCAAGTTCTTTGATCTCCACATCAGAGTCTTCTCCAAACTGAATACACTTGTCGATTTCAGACAGTACAAATTGTATGCTGCCCATAAAAACATTTCGGCTTCATTTTTTAGGTTTGATATTCAACACTAAACATATGTAAGAAACTAAAAAGGAATTGATTTTGAATTTATTACCTCTTCTCTTTTCTCAAATCAAGTGGCGTGAATCTCACCATGCTATACTCTTCCACCTAACACATTTAAAATGAAGAAGATTCATGATCCAACATTTACTCGTTGCAGTTTCAGTTTTACAATATACAAAAGTTACAAAACACATACCAATTCAATTAAGGCTTTGTTCAGTTTTGCAAATTGAGGAGCCATTCTTTCGTTTAACTCTGACAGCAAAGTGCGAGGCTCTGGATCCAAGTACCTATGTGACCCACAAGAAAATCAATTTATAAACTTGAGAAAGAAAAAAAAACAAAAACGGTATAGTAATTGAAGAAGAACAGAGAAAGGAGATTCACTCTTCAATGTTGCTTTTATCCGGTAAGAGATCCATCTTTGAGAGGATGTTAACATGAGGCAGTTCAAGCTGGATCATTGCAGAAAGAGAAACCATACATCCGCTGATAAACTTGGGCACATCTGATACAAACTGATCCAAGATATCCTCTCTTTTGTCAAAACATTGAAAATGGTTTTGATATAAACTCAGATAAGTCCATAATCATAAGTAGTGGAAGAAAGAAACTTTTCAAGGAACCTGTGAATCAAGCAAATACACAGCACAGACGTTGAAGTTCTTCTGCTTCAAATGCTCCACAAAGTTTTTGAGGACAGGTACATGTGTGAAAATCTCTATCTGGCCTATAATCACAATCCAACACTAACATCATGAATCAAAGATGTACTCATTAAGATCTTTAAGAGCTATAAGAGAGTAAGAGTCACCTGGACAGTCAAAGACTAAGTAGTCAGCGTCTGCAAAGTTCTCCAATTCTTCATCCAACCAATTATATAGACTGTCCTGAAGGTAACTATGAATTAAAGTTAAGGTTCTTCCAGTTTCCACTCAGTGTAGATAAGTAGATTCTTTGCTATAAAACACAACAAAGCAAAATCACAAAGTGCTTAAACGCAATTAACGTTAACAAGAAAGGATACTCCATACAACGCATAAGACCATCGTTGGGACCACACTTTAGCTGCTCCATGACATCTTCAACAGTAACAAGCTCTCGAATATCTGCATCCAGACAAGAAGATCGAAGCTTTCGGCGAAAATAAGAAAGTCACTGAAGAAGCAAACGCCCATAAATTTGAGTGACAGAGAACTCACCCATTGCCACAGGATAGTTAAACACTTCTGCAGCAGGATCCAAGTTAACAATATGCATTGTTCGTCGGATACTTTCACAATGTTGGTGTAAAGATGAGCAATAAGTTGACTGCTCCAAAACATAAGAAAAGGTAAATTTGGATTATAAACTTTAACTTTGCATTCTTGTTCCCTTCATTTTAGATTGAAAACAAGAATTTGCAGAGATGATTCATCTCAAAGAAACTAACCTTTCCGCTACCAGATGGCCCAATAACAAGCTGTGCATAACCCATGATAGCAACCTGATCTCTAGCTCATACAAACTCAAAATAGAATTGATCCTGTTAAAGAATATCCAAAAAGATTCAATAATAGCCCTTAAAAAGGTAAGAACTTTTGATACTACAGTACATCAATGTGAAGATCATTCCTTTTTGTATCTGAGTCTAAAGTTTATACATTTTGTACCACAAACAAGAGTTTGGGTTTAGTTGCATGAAACCCTAAAGCTAATCAAAGCAATAACAGGGCAAGAGACAATTTAAGCGAGAAATTAAAGCAAATCTAGTCAACATTTCAAGAAAAAACCGAAATCTTATACAACAAAGAATGCTAATGAGGTTTGAAGCACATACAATATTAAGGACCATAAGAAAAACCTTCATGCTCAAAGGAAACGAAAACAACCACAGAAAGATACAGAAAATCACAAACCCGTTATCAAAAAATGAGAGCCCGAGTCGAGAGAGAAATAAAGATGCAAACTTTGAGATCAAAATCGAAATTGCAAACATCAAAGCATCTTAAACATCTTTCGACTCTCTCAGTCGTAGTCTGGTTCAGAAAATTAATGAAAAGGAACAAGCTTTGGGTAAAAATAAACTTTGGGGGCTTTACAAAGGAATAAATTGTGGGGGGCTTTATTATAAGAAATCAATTTTAGGGGGCTTTGTAGCTATAGAAACAAATTGGGGGGGGGGGGGAGTTTATCAGAAGACATTTTTTGCCAAATTTTGAGGCTCTTTCCGCTTAAACTGATTAAAAAAATATTATTAAGCCGAAATGTTAAATCATAGATTTCTTATAATTTATGGGCTTTTTTGTAAAATCATATCAAAACTTTGAGCCATTTTGTAATTATCATTTTTTGAACCATTACACTTTCTCCTATATATATTTGAGTTGGGCCTGTAAATAAACGAAAGAATTTATCGAAAAAGAGGAGAATTGAGAAGATCCACATTTTGAATAGGTTTGGTTTAAAACCGAATGAAAGAACTTTTAAAGATTAACTTAACACCACATTGAAATTCCTATTCAAATGGATAATGTTAGGATAATAGGAAAAAATAACCACTTCTAGCATAGAAAAATCGGTTTAGGTTACGTGGTCTATGAATTGGCAAATGCGTTACTAAATCGTTTGAAATTATCTAGAGGAAACTTAATTAACAAATCAAATTAACATGATTTTCTTTATATCAGTGCACGTTATGTACTTATGTCCTTAGGAAAACGTTAATGCCGAAAGAGTTTGAGTCTTGTGACTCTAGTCTCTAGCTTTATCGCCTTATCGGCTTATATGTCTAACTATGTAACAACAAATCAATCTTTTGCTTAGATGCATAATTTTTCGTGGAATATTTTCTCAGTATTCGAAAATTTATTAAAAGAAAAATAAAAATGAATGAGACTTATCATGCCAGCACGGTTAACCTTTAAACTAATTGAACTAACTCTAAACCATAATTTTTAATCCAAACCTCAAATTATCCAAATCAAAGTTGGTAATTCTACGAATCACAAAAAAAAAAAAAACGTGGCGAGGAAAAACTTATCATGCAATTTCATGGTGGATTTCACCTGTCTTAACCTATGCACGTCAATGCCAAAAATTCGAAAAAACAGATTAGTATATAGTGATTTTAAAAATCACCACTACTATCTTTATAATCCGATATGTCAGAAGTTCAGTGGAATCTCGAGCTTCGAGGCTTGTTTTTTGGATGCAGCGCTATTTACAAAAATAAAAAGATATAGAAAAATCAAATTTTCCTTCACAATTATTGTTCAATAATACGACAAATGCACATACACATATGTCTATTACTAGTAGTTATACACTACGTTGTATATATAATATATACGCAGAATCGAATTATTATCATAACTAGAAGCTAGTCTCTCATGCATTGTAGAATTCATCAAATGTTGTAATTACAGGTGGCCACATGCTAATATATTCGCATTTTAAATCCAAATTATAAAGATGGAGCCACTTGCAGGATCTCCGCGTAGCGTCAAATTTGTTGTTCATTAATCATTATTGTAATGAGAAAAAGGTTCATCATTATGTTTATGGCATATGATAGAAACTTTCCTCGTTGTTTATTTTGTTGTTTACCACTGTAGTACTGATATCCATTCAGATAATTTAGAACAGTGTAGATACTTCGACACTTCTATTAACTATATTATATTATACAGTAAATCCATCAACTCTTGTAATAGACGCTTAATTTATTAGTTTTGTATTATTCAGAATGCCTCATTTCTTAATATTTGAATTTCATCTTAAAAGATTTACTACAACTATAGGAAATATAAAATCCTCCTTCATATTGTTAGAACATGAATGGTATAGTATACTCTATAGAATTGTTTTTTTTTTTAAAATGCAGAGTAAAATGGTTAGTTAGAGCTTATTTTAGCACAAACGATACAAATTGAAACTAAATAATGGCATAAAACGCAAAAATATATAATAAAATGCAGTCATTTATTTAACAGTTAAGACGATTATGTTTTATATTTTTTTGCGAATTTGATTATTACCTTCAAAGTTTCGGTTTTGAAGTACACATAACGCTTGTGAAGTTGCAACATTTTAACACTATTTGGAATGGCTCGTCTATGCTATTTACATGTTCCAATCCGCTGAATCTGCTACAAACTCACCTGAAGAGTTAATATATGAAAAAAAAGTTAGATGTGGTTCTTGTGGCGCTTTTGACGGTATGATTAAGTGGTAATTTTTACAAAAGTTTCTATTTTTGATGTTAGAATTTTGTTCAAAGGCGATTTCATATGATCATTATTTTTTCCTCAAAAGCATATTCTTATTTCATTATCATAACTAGTTTGTTATATAAGTTTAAAAGCATGTTTAACGCTGGTTTTTATCCAGCATCTTAACTTAAAAAATTATTTAAAAAATGATAAAGTAAAACATATGAAAGAAACGGTTTTTATAATTTTTATTTAAAGATCGGATGTAAAATTTTCTAGACATATATAATTATATAACTGGTTTGCTTTCTTTTATATTTAAAATTTATTTATATTATTATATTATATTAATATTTTATATTTAAGAAAGGTATCTTAATGTTTCTTGTGTTGAACATTGTCTAACTAAGTAGTTTGACAAAAAAGTGAAATAAGTAGTTTAGCACAAACATCATAAGACAAGAGTTCAGAAGACATAGTAGTATTAGAACTATTAGTCGCACAATATCAAATGAGGAAACCTGAAAGATCTTAAGTAATTCTAGCACTTGGAGAACGTTGGAAAGATTCGAACCAAAGATAGAAGAAGGTGTGTGATTCTTTGATATGTCCAATTTTCTTTTACAAGTCTAAAAATGTCACACATAATTGTTCAGATGATTGTTATGTGAGCCGATTCTCAAATGTTCTTATTTGAGGACCTCTCCTCTTTCTCTCACTTACTTTTTATTTTTTTAAAAAAAATTTATATAGTAACACCAACACTAATAAAGATTTTTAGGTGTCTAAACAAATGTTTTTAGTAATAAAATTAAATAAAAAATAGTTCATAATATCCTATATTTTAGACTAGTGTCTAAATTAAGAATACACATATGGTAAATTGAGAGTGGACGATGGAAAATTCTAGTTTCTGAATTGCATTTCTGTAATTTATATGTTTTCATATATTATATTTTTAAAAATGTATTATGTTTTAAAATTTGTTAACAATAGTTTTTACTTAATTTTTTTTAAAATATACATATATATACATTTTATTTTTAAGACATTCATCAAAAGTATTTTCATTTTATGCTCTAAAAACAATAAAATACTACAAAGTATTTTATATACATAATATATACAAAATATTAATAATTAATCAATAAAATATATATTAATAGTGTATCTATTACACTTGCTCTAAGAACCTTATTGAAATACCGTTAATGGGACGCTCTAAGGATTTGATTTATGTCGTTAAAATATGTAATAAATTTGTGTATAATCGATATGCATGCTCTTCTAACTTTGTGTGATTATTGATCATAATAATAAATTAAATTCAGATATAGGACCGATGTGACATAAATGTAGGTGTGATTATTCTTGATCATGATAATTTCGTATCATTACAGTTTGCAATTTTAAAGAGGAAAAGGAGAGGCTAATAGACTTTTTAACGTTTTCAAAAGACAACATTACTAAGTTACATACATATCTTTACGTGAAAAGCTACCGTTATATATGAACTTTACTATATACTTCGAGTAATTCAACTTTTCTTACTAATCTTCATATAAATCTTCTTCCAAACACATTAATAATTTAATATTATACTAGGGATGTTTCTGCACTACACACGGATTGTTTATTATAAATATTTATTATTATTAAAGTTAAATTATTATAATTTTAAATCAATAAATATTTGATTTTCAATATCGTTTTCATCGTTATACATTGATTTTTTTTTAATGTTTTCAAAAATATGTTATGATTTAATTTAACAATTTACTAACTTGATATATGAAAAAAATTAACTATTGTTCTAAAACTTAATATTTGTATATAAATTCATTGTTGTTCATCAACTTTTAAAATATTATTAAAATTATTTTTGTATTAACTAAACTTGATATACAATTGAACTCAGCAACTATAAGTTTTTCTTTATTTAATTTAAAACAATATTTTCATTTTAAACAAAAATAAAATAAGTTATCAAACATATGACTACAACTGAAGTAACTGATTATTGTTCCAATTAATTTGAATTTATTTTCATTTTATTTGTTTTTGTGTAGTGTTTTTTTTTCATTAGTAGTCTCAAATACAAAACAACAATCAATATTCAAAACTTTTACAAATCCGTAAAAGAACTATTGTTCATATAAATAAAAAAAACATTTACCTAGTATACAAAATCATAATCACATTGAAAAAACTGCAATTTTGATTTGGTCCTTGAAGTATCTGTAAACTATAGAAGTGTAGATGAATAAAACAAATAATACATATA